AAATGTCTGATGTCGACCATCTGTAGCCCTCGTAAAAGCTAGGTCTGCTGTGTCCATCCTGCTCTCCTCTCATCAGGCTAAAATCATCACCCTCAGCCAACCCAAAGCACGTAAATCACACTTCTAAAATATTGAATATTTCCTGAAGTTTGATGGGAACCAGAGAAGGGAGTTACATCACAGACTGAATAAAAAAAAAATTTTTTTTTGACAGATAGAGTTAGACAGTGAGAGAGAGAGACAGAGAGAAAGATCTTCCTTCTGTTGGTTCACTTTCCAAATGGCTGCTACGGCTGGTGTGCTGTGCCAAGCCGAAGCCAGGAGCCAGGTGCTTCTCCTGGTCTCCTATGCAGGTGCAGGGCCCAAGCACTTTGGCCATCCTCCACTGCCCTCCCGGACCATAGCAGAGAGCTGGACTGGACAGAGGAGCAACTGGGACAGAACCGATGCCCCAACTGGGACTAGAACCCAGGTGCAGGCTCCACAGGCGGAGGATTAGCCAAGTGGTTTCTTAAAAAGTCCTTATCCACATCCCCTAGTTTCTTTTTCCTAGTAGATGCCTATTCTGTGAACACACACACACACACACACACACACCCCACAGACCTAGACGTCTCGGGTCACCCTGGACTCAGCTTTTCAGTTTTGCTTTACCCTGCTGTCAGGTCAGTTCTGGGAAGCACACCTTCACATTGAACAAGCTCAAAAATGTTCCCATTTAAGGAATTGTTTTTTCCAACGACCTAGCCAACCACTTGGAACAAGAAGAGAGCAAGGGGAGAACTGGAATGAAGGCAGAGCGTGAATGCTTTGTTACTGGAACTTCATATCAGGAACAGCCTTGTTGTTGATGTATAAAGCTGCTGACTCAGCGCTTGTTTCTCTAGGCTTGGCAAAAGGTACCCATACCTGTACAGGAGGTTTGTCTTCTAACTGCTAAGATTTCTTTCCATCTCTTCACTACTGTCTGAAAATTCAATTCCCATCTTCCAACACTATCCACACTTTAATTTTTCTGTCATTTCAAGGGGATTTTAGGAAGAGGGGGAAACTGTGAATTAAGCTTATCATCTTGATCTTTAAGTCTGAGTCCAAGTTTCTAGACAAGCTCATGTCAACTGATTTTACCTCTTTTTTTTTCTTTTTTTCTTATCTCATGCAAAGTGTTCACGTCATTCAAAGGATGTCACCTTTGCCTTCTCTCTTATTTGTACATTACCAAGAAAATGGATTCTCATCTGTGCCAACTATTCTTTTGGTGTGTTAATTTTTCATTAATCCTATCTGGTTCATTCTGTAAACATTTACTGAAGACTTAAGTGACATACACCTTGTTTAAATTAATATTCAGCTGCAAGAGACACAACTTATAATGAAACATATAGTTCCTCCGTTAGCAAACGAGAAAATCCCAAATAACACACAAACTTTGCTACTTGAACACCGTCATCGACACCTAAGGAAATTTTCATGGTAAAATTCTCCCAAAGCCTGTATCACATGAAAGTCACACCTCCGGCAAAATGAAAGGCTCTCACAGGTGATAGGATAGAACTAATTATGAAAACTTGATAGACACAAACAAAGTAGGATTGATTAACACATATTGACAAAAAGTTTCTCCCTGGACAAAGGAAAAAAATATAAATGCTACCTCAATCCTGAAAGGGACCCCAGAAGATAGGTTCCCAAGTGGGCCAGGCGGGAGTAAGATGGGCACATTCCTTTATCTTGGATCTGAATCAATTATCTCTGCACGAAGACAGTAACTGCCACAACAGCAACACTTGTCTCACCTGTGGGAAGCTACGGTTCTTAGACAGAGGAGTCTAAAATTCTGGGGACCCTTTGGGCTTTAGGAAATCTCTCTAAACTCTGAGTGGGGGTGGCCATTTCTGTTTGGTCAGAGGGCCGAAGGCTGAAGGCACTTGGAGGAGGTGCATGGTCAACAGAACTCCCTGGGTAGGAGGAAGGAGGGGCAGTGAAGACAGCTGTGGGGACTGCACCAGAGGAGGAGAAAATGTTTTGAAACCACAAGCATTCTGTTTAACATTTCAAAGACTTCCTTTATGGCAGCGGTATCCATCAGACATGAAGTGGAAGAGCTGAGCACTACAAGATTCAAGTTTCTTACAAATTCAGAATTGATGTCAAGAACAGGGATTCCCTGTCATCCAACATTTAACCTTATTTGACCTGTTCTTCCATATTTCACAAAGCATGAGGTTGGAACTACTATGCCACCATTTATCAAAACCTTAATTATTTTAAATGAATCCTGGCCAAAAAAAAAAGGGCTAGGAAATACCAAAAATGTTTGGCCTGACAATGGAAATGGAAAATGTGAACAGCTAAATTTATTGAAATGCTATCCCCTAAAATGAAGTTTTTTTATGTATTTTTACAAATATTTTGTTGAGACCCAAACAGGGTTGGGCCTGGGGACTTCAATAAGACTACCTTAGGCTCCTTAAATGACATGAGGAATAATGCGTCAATCCCGTGATAGATCCAGCAGGAGCCTCACTTCATCTGTGCGTGTGCAGGACTGGGCAGCTGTAATCCCAAGGACTCAGGGCCCAATGTAAAGACTCCAGATGAAACAGAATACCTAGCACGGAAAGGCAATGCTGCTCCGAAGGAAATGATGAAGCGATGAGAGCTTTTCACACCTGAAGAAATCCAGGCATGGGCCCTTCACCCCTTTCCGGCGGGGGAAGGACTGAACCCAGAAAGCTTTAGTGCTCAAATTGAAAGTTTCTCTGCTTAAAAGTCATATAAAATTGTCAATTTACACAAAGAAGGCAATCTTTTTTTTCTTCACTATTTCTAATATAGATGTTCCATAAAATGCAGGAAATTTTTAATTTAAAATTGTTGATCATTAGTATTTGGTTATACTTAAAAAAAATACCAGTGTGTTGATAATACCCCAAGGGCAGGGGATATTGAATCTTAGCTGACACAGGGATAAGAATCAATCACTACTTAAATCTACCTTAACTTCAGAAAGCACTCAAAGTGTATGATGGCTTTGGTATTCCAATAATCTCTGACTTAAAATCCACCCCTTGACTTCTGTAACTGTAATTCATTCAAATCTTATTTGTATTTTGTTTTATTTTCAAATTTTATTTGTTCATTTACAGAGAGAGAGAGAGAGAGAAACTCCCATCCACTGCTTTTCTCCTCAAATGCCCACCATAGCAGGGGCTGGATCCACCTGAAGCCAGGAGCCCACAACTCCATGTGGGTCTCCCACATGGGTAGCAGGGAATAAAATACTTGAGCCATCACCTGCTGCCTCCCAAGATGTGCATTGGCAGGAAAACTGGAACTGGGACACAAACCCAGGCACTCCAAAAATCATGATTATGAAACTTCTCTCTTTAGCATAGACTTAGGCAAGGTTGATCCTGCCCAGACCTGCTGTTTATAGGGCTTTACAGGGCCTTGCCTTCACTCTTGTCCAGAAACACCCCCTGGACACTGGGCTTGTTTAAGCACCACTTCAGGAACTGGGCTTCCTGGAATTCTCTGCTTCAAATGACTCTGCTTGTAGATATAATCCCAGGCTCAGAATGGCCAAAGGGCAGCTGGATGCTGAAGACATGGACAGAATTGTGCTGTGTGGACTACCACATCACAAATGTGCACTCAAAGAGCCTTGTGCATTGGGGGATAGAGAGTGAACCTCCAGCCAGCAGCCGCTTCTCCCTGTACCACCTTGTTCCAGTAGAGAACTCCACGAGCTTGAGAGCTGTAAATTCCAGCCTGACCATCCACATTGTTATGAAGTTAGATTTGTCCAGGGGGGAGGACAGAACATATTTTATCTGGCAGTGTGTTGGTTTGATTTATAACTGTGAACTATTTAGACACATGGTGTGTGGGCCCTGCAAATGGGAGGGGCGGAACTGGCTTTCAAAGCAGTGGGGGTGAGGCTGAGGGTGACATCCCCATTCTTCTCACCCTGGGGCTCTCCCTGTTCTCCATCAAAGGGCTGCTGTGGATTGGATGGATTGCAAAGAATGCTGGTTCTCTACAGGGCTCTCCCCACCAGAAAGAATGGTTTCCATTTGCAGAGTATGGCTACAGCATTCGTCCAGACTCCCTGTGTCAGCTGAAGGCAGCTGGCTATGTGTTTCAGCTTGTTTTCCTTGTGTGCTGGGCAAGTGTGCCAAGCCAAAGTTCAGCAGAGCCAGAGCTAGGCAAACCCTCCCAACCCTTGCTATGCAGTATAATCGACATTTCTGTATGAAGCCAGTACATGCCTTTTCTGTAAGGCACAAAACTATGCTTGCAAGCTATGGCCTCAGGAATGGCAGAGCAATGGTGTTAGATATGAAATTACATTATAGAGGCCGGCGCTGTGGCATAGCAGGTAAAGCTGCCGCCTGCAGGTCCAGCATCCCATGTGGGCGCCGGGTCGAGTCCCAGCAGCTCCACTTCTGATCCAGCTCTCTGCTGTGGCCTGGGAAACCAATGGAAGACAGTCCAAGTCCTTGGGCTCCTTCACCTGCGTGGGAGACCTGGAGGAAGCTCCTGGCTCCTGGCTTCAGATTGACACAGCTCCGGTTGTTGCAGCCAGTTGGGGAATGAACCAGCGGATGGAAGACCTCTCTCTCTCTCTCTCTCTCTGATTTTCAAATAAATAAATAAATATTTAAAAATTAAATTATCACACTTTACCCAAGTGGTAGCAGCTTTGGCCTTATGCCTGAATAGGAAGCTTAGCCACTGACTATCCATGTAACTTATTCATGTTAACTAAGTTACTTAGCCCTCTTTGAATTTCTGTTTCCATCTCAAAATGGGAAACAGGAGAGGAAATGGAAAGGAGAATAAAGAAAAAAATGAGCATGGTAAATACTCAAAGTGTAGACTCATCTTTAGGCTCCATCACCCCATCTCTGAAGCTTATCTTCATACATAATGTTTGCCCCTCTGGCTAATAGCCAATGCTATGGGCCCATGTACCCCATTGTTCTCCCTCAAACTTGCCTCTGTAAGATTGGCAGTATTCCATGCCTAGGGCAGTTGACAACATGAGAGTGCTCAGTCCAGCCCAACAGCAAGCAACTTGATTCCAGTTGTTCATCAATTTCCTGCAAAAACAAACACAACAAAACCTCAGCCTTCAATATCTAGATGAAACCACACTTTCAAAGAAAAGTGCTCTTTTGGGACCCACTATCCATGAGAGAGTGAACACAAATGTGGACGAAGCTGAGAACTTCCTTCAAAATTCACAAGCCAACAAAAAGAGAAGATGGGTGTAAAAGTGCCCAGTAGTTCAGGGCGAAAGACCACACAGACTCCAGAACCAGACGGGCTGGGCAGTGTCACTGCACTGGATTCTGTCACTCAGCATGGTGCAATGCTTGGATATGGTTTGACTTGGTCGAAGATTTGTGTGTGAGAAGATGGGTCCCCAGGGTGGTGGGCTTTCAGCAGAGGTGGCGTTCAATGGGAGATCCTTAGATCATGGAGAGTATGCCCTTTGAAGGGATTGTGAGATCCCAGGCCCTTTGGCTTTCTGTCTGGCAATGTGATCTCGCCCTCTCACACACACCCCATCATCTGCCATGAGGCCTGCAGAGCTAAGTTAATGCCAGCATCATGCCCTTGACTTCCAGATCTGTGAGCTAAATAAACCTCTTTTCCTTTTAAAGTTACCCAGTCCCATGTATCTTATTATAGTAATGGGAAACAGACAGATAGAAGGAAACTTCAAAAAGTTCATTGGAAAATGCAATCAAAAGATAATTTTATTTTGGTGCCAAAAATTTTTGAAATCCCCTCATAGTTCTTCATAATATGTATTTTTCATGACAGTTTTGAAGACCTCTAACATGCATGGCTTTCAAATTTTTTTTTCACCAAAATGCATGCATCTTTTAATTCCATCTTTTTAAAAAAGGTTTATTCTATTTGAAAGGCAGACTTATTCAAAGAGAGGGAGAGAGAGAGAGAGAGAGGGAGAGAGAGGGAGAGAGAGAGAGGGAGAGAGATCTTCTACCTGCTGATTCACTCCCCAAATGGCCACAATGACCAAGGCTGGGTCAGGCCAAAGCCAGAACCCAGGGGCTTCTTCTGGGTCTCCCACATGGGTGCAGGGCCCAAGGACTTAGGCCGTTGTCCATAACTTTACCAAGCACATTAGCAGAGAGCTGCATCAGAAGTGGAGAAGTCAGGACTCAAACCTGTGAGCATATGGGATGCTGGCTTTGTAGGTGGTGGCTCAACCCACTACGCCACAGGATTGGCCCCTAATTTCATGTTTAAATGAATTTTTAGAAGTACCCCCATAAACTTAGTATGTGAATTTGGACAATTTCATGTCTCTGGATATTAATTTCACCCTCTGTAAAATGTGACAAAATCCAATTATATTGAAATGACCTAATATAAATCCATAGCGCAGTTTCTGGAAGTTAGTGAGTATTTTGAGGATAGCTGCTTTTATTATAACAATGTTAATGCTACTGATAACTAAAATTACACGGTGAATGGCAATAGTATGAACAAAATGTCACCTAATTGTGCAAGCTTAGTTGTATCTAGGGAAGGCAAAGGGAGGATGTGAGTGATCTGGGCCTTGAAGGGTGAGAACTTTGCCAAGTGGCAGAGAGACAGAAAATGGCACTGCAGGCAAGGGGGGCTCCGTGATGCAGCGCTGTGAGCTACTGTTGGATCCGTGCTCTCTGACTGTAGGAGAAGAGGCTGGAGAGGCCGATTGAGGACACAGCAGCCAGTAGGGCCACACTGAGAGGAGAGGATTCTAAGCTACCTGTACCGCTGTGCTGGCAGCTGTCTTGTAGAACAGAGGCCCCAGCTGTGCGGACTGAAGAGAAGGCCGAGCTTGCGCATGCTAAGCACAGACACTGGAGAAGATTTTGGGAAGTATTTTGTCATTCTAATCAATAGTAATGTCGCCTGTTGTCTCACAAAGCCATAACCCTTGAAAAAACAGTCTTTGGAGGCTCAGCTGGCTACAGAGTACCTGAAGCCAAGAAATTCAATTGTTAATCCTGATTCAAAGGACCCACTCATTTGTAAGAGAATAAATCTCTATGTGGCAAGTGTGTTGGGTGTAATGGTTAAGACTTTCCTTGGAAGACTTGGGGTAGCCACATGCCACATCAGAGCACCCAAGTTGTAGTCTCAACTCTGAACCCAATTCCAGCTGCCTGCTAATGTACATCCTGGGAGACAGCAGGTGATGGCTCAGGTAAATGTGTCCCTGTCACCCACATGGGCAACCTAGATTGAGTTCAGGGTTCCTGGCTTCAGCCCAGCCAAGCTCTGGTTGTTGCAGGCATTTGAGGGTAACACAATGGATGGTTAAATAGAGGTGTCTGTCACTTTTCTCTCTCTGTCTCTCCACCTTTCAAATAAATACAATGTGTAAAGGAAAAATTTTTAGAAGTCAAAGTAATTACTAAATGCTTAACATCAAAATAAATTTTTAAGCTCTCAATGGCTATCAAGACTTCTCAGCATATGTAAGCTTAAATATGTAATGTGCAAGAGCTTTTCAATAAATAAATGAAGAATTTTTCCTAAAAGGTCTTTGGTTGGGGGGGGAGTTACATTTTTTTTCTTTTTCTTCTTTTTTTCCTATTTTGCAGCTGCAGCAGAAAAGTTTCTAAAAAAATAAAAAAGAAAGAAAGAAAAGAAAAAGACACTGTGGCCAGCCAACTTCCTTTCCAAACATTTGGTCCTGAGTAGCTCCTGCAAAGAATAGTCAAGTGTAATAGACGTGGAGGAATGTGGCAATCCATTTGCTTTATTTCTGCAAAATTATTGCAGATTGCAGGTCTGGGGGAGGGGATGCGTGGGAGAAATTGGCTGCTCTGTTTCCTTTGGTGCAGGAATGAGTCTCCAGGGCATTCTACCTTTCTCTGCTGAGCAGTCCACCCAGGACCCTCCTTTTGCCCTGGAGCCTGCTGCTTGGAAGAAACACTCACGGCGTATTTCTGCCCTCGTGTGACAACAGCAGTCATGTATCATGGGCAGCAGGCCAGCAGCTCTTCACCTAGAACAAAAACAGGCCAGCCAGAGGTGGTCCTGCAATCACCGTTATTTTTTAATCATTTTTTATGAGTGATTCAGAAATTAACCAGTAATGTGCTGAGAAAACATTGTACAAGCTACAAATAAAACGTGCAATGAAAGAACATGGATGACATAATATATACTGACGTAGAAGGATGTCCAAGACAGAATCTGAGACAAGGAAAGTACCAAAAAACAGGTATAGCATGATCCTGATTTTATGATTCATTGGAGAAACAAGGTGTCAATAAGTTTGGTTAGGCAGGGAAAGATGTCTGGAATGATAAATAGTATGTTATAGACCAACTTCTTAATTGTGTTTATTCTAGGAAAGAAGAAGGGAGAGGAAGAAAAGAGAGCGACTGCTCTTTTTTTTATTCTTTTAATAATTAAAAAAGGAAAAACACAGCGGGCTGGTGTTGCAGCATAATGTGTTAAGCCACTGCCTACAACACTGTCATCCCATGTGGGCAGCAGTATGTGTCCCAGCTGCTGTGCTTCCAATCCAACACCCTGCTAATGGCTTGGGAAAGCAGTGGAGGATGACCTAAGTACTTGGGCCCCTGTACACACATGGGCGACCCGAATGAAATGCGTGGCTCCTGGCTTCAGCCTAGCACAACCCCAGCCATTGCAGTAATCTTAGATGAACCATTGGATGGAAGATCTCTCTCTCTCTCTCTCTCTCTCTCTCTCTCTCTCTAATCCTGCCTTTCAGGTGATAGATAAATCTTCTTAAAAAATAAAAAGGAAAAATTCAAGGTGTAAAAATTAATAAATTTCATGATATTTTCATCTAATTTGGGGAGAATCTCTATTTAGTATCTTTAAGCTTATATAAGTTTTCATGGTATCACCCTCCTTAGCCAATAGTCGTATCATTCCACATATTTAATTAGAGCACTTGCCTTGTAATTGCCTTTTGTGCCCAGAACACAAGAAAGAGATTTGAGTTATTTCAGATTGTATTTCTCAGGTCCTTTCATGCTTTGCCAAGTTTGCTTTTCTGAGGCAATGATTTTTCAGTTGGCATTTTTAGTGGATCAACCTGCTCCTAGGGCCTGATGCTTCAAGATCTCTGCAGGCTTACAAAGTCATGCCTGGGTGGGTGGGGGTGCAGATGGTTGGCACAGCAGTTAACATGCCACTTGGGTACCTCCATCCTATATTACAGTGCCTGGTGCAAGTCTCAGCTCTGCTCTCCGTTCTAACTTCCCGGTCTTTCGCACCCTGGAAGGCAGTGGTGATGGGGACTTCTCCCACCAGTGTGGGATCCTGGCTCCCAGCTTTAACTTGGTCCAGCTCTAGCTGTTCAAGTATCTGGGGAGTGAATGGAAGATGGAAGATTTCTATCTTTCTCTGCTTTTCAAATGAATAAATAAACAATTACTGTTTTTCCTTGTGTACTAGACAACTCGTAGTTAGGCGTGGGGTCTGGGCTGGCGTAGTTTTAGTTAGTCCCTTTCAAAATCTCTAGAACCAATCATGAAGTGGTTCACAGATCTGGTATCACTCAAATCTGTACCACCCAGGCATGCGAATAGTAATCTTGAGATATTTTGGTTCTTTCTTTGCAGCCAGTTCTCACTAGTTGCAAGAAGAAAAAACAAAAAAGAAATTGTCCTAATCAGATTCAGCTATTTTGTAACAAATTACCATAAATTGGGTGGCTGAAACAACAAACATTTGTTGCTTACAGTTTGGGAGCCTGAGAAGTTCAGGATCAAGATGCCAACAGACTCCTGACTGAGGAGGAGTCACTTTTGCAGATGGCCACTTTCTTGCTAATTTGTACATAGGGGGTGGAGGTGGGAGGGGGTAGGGAGAAGGAGAGAGAGAGAGAGAACATCTCTCTCATGCAGCCTCTTATAAGGGTAGAAATCTCATTCCTGAGAGCCCCACCCTGAAGACTGAATGACTCCTAAACCTGAGGTATTTCCTGCAAAGAAAGAGGTTATTTAGCTCACAGTTTTGGAGGATGAAAGTCTAAGCAGCATAGCTCAGGCCCTCCCAAAGGCCCTGTGGCAGATCGTGTGCCAACCAGGAA